CACACACACACTCAAGTGCGCACACTCATACTTGCGCGCGCACACACACAGAGGCAGAGGCAGAGGCAGATAAATATAATAAGCCAAACAGCGCTAGAGCTAGAGAGAATCTTAGAAGTCATTTAAGAAGTTCGCAGGGTGTGGTGGCGCACACCTCTAATATCAGCATTTTGGGAGGCTGAGGCAGGAGGTTCCAAGTTTGGGCCAGAGTGGGCAACTTAGTGAGACCCTGGCTTAAAATGAAAGATAAAAAGAATTGGGGATATAGCTTAGTGGTAAAGTGACCTTGGGCTTAATCTCTAGTACCAAAAAAAAAATACCCCCCAAACACATTTATTTTACAGAGGAGGAGCTGCAGTGACGTCCAGAGAGGTAAAGGAAATAAGCTACGATCACACAGCTTATTTTTTAAATTATTTCTTTCTTTCTATGCCCTTTGGGTTCAATCTGCGCATGTATGATTTCTCTCTCTCTCTCTCTCTCTCTCTCTCTCTCTCTCTCTCTCTCTTTTAGCTTCTTTAAAGTAGAAGCTTAGATCATTGATCTCAAACCTTTCTGCTTTTCCACTAGAGGCATTTCAATCTCTACAGTCACTCTAATCACTGATTTAGCTATATCCCAAAATGTTGATGTGGAATATGTTCTATTGTTACTTCACTTCAAATATTTTCTAATTTCCCGGTGGTTTCACTAATCAGTGGGCTACATCCCCAGACCTTTTTAATATCTTATTTAGAGACAGGGTCTCACCCAGTTGCTTAGGTCCTCACTAAGATGCTGAGGCTGGCTTTGAACTCTTGATCCTCCTGCCTCAACCTCCCGAGCCACTGGGATTACAGGCGTGCACAACTGAGCCCAGTTTATTCTGGCATTCTTTTTTTATGTGTGTGGTGCTGGGGATTGAACCCAGGGCCTTGTGCATGTGAGGCAAGCACTCTACCAACTGAGCTATATCCCCAACCCTTATTCTGCCATTCTTAAGTATAATTTTCTATCAAGATCAAATAGGGGGCTGAGGATGTGGCTCAAGCGGTAGCGCGCTCGCCTGGCATGCGTGCGCGGCTCGGGTTCGATCCTCAGCACCACATACAAAGAAAGATGTTGTGTCCGCCAAAAACTAAAAAATAAATATTAAAATTTTCTCTCTCTCTCTCTTTAAAAAAAATTTAAAAAGATCAAATAGATCAAGGCGCCTGACCACGTTGCTCAAGTTTTCTCCATCTTTACCAATTTTTTAAATCTCGTTATTCTACTCTTGATTGGGAGAGGGTGTCAAAAATTTCCAATTATCCAGTCACAAAAAAAGATCATGTTTTAGATAATTTATATGCAATATCCAGGATATGCAAATATACAGAGGCAAAAATTAGATTGCTGCAGATCTTGTCAAGGCTTGGTTTTAAGTACATCCTTAACCTAATTTAGTCCCCTTGGAGTTAATATTGTACCAATATTAGAATACTTTACACTTCTCACTCGACACATCCCATCTCCTACTTCACACCTGACACTTTTGATTCACAAATGTATTGATCCACAACAGTAGAGTTCCATTTTCCGCCCCCGCCATCCCTGTGCTATTATCATAACTTTGGCCTATGTTATAACATCCAATTTACGATTCTATTATTTTGTTTTGAACAGTTGCCTTTTAAGGAAATTATGACATGGGCAAAAGTACTTTATGTCTAGCCATTTCTGAGCTTTGTTTAAGTAGGGCTTACTCTAGATCATGGTCCTCACCCCTAAGGCATGGCACCACCAGAGTTTCAAGTGGACGCCTGGGGTGTTAAAGATTTTTCCATTTTTGGTTGACCAAACTCCAACATTTTCCCGAAGTGCTTGACTTCTAGGGCCTTTTTTCTGTTCTCAGTCACATAACTGTTGTTCTCTGGTAAGCCTCACACAGTCTCCAACAACATATGCCACCACCGTCCTCAGGAGAGCACTTGGAGTGAGCCTCCACCCAGAGGTGTGGGAGTCCCTTCAGTGTTGTCCCCTCCTCCAGGAGGCACTGCTCCACAGATTCTAGCTACGTCTGACCTATGTCACCTCAGCTCAACAAGGACTCTGTGCTCTACTTGAGGTCCAGCTGCCCCCTATCCCCATTGCAGTCAGGGAATTGTCCCGGGAGTCAAGAGCTGTGGTGACCTGAGAGTTTCCCTTCTATGATGACTGTATTTCCCTAAATGACCATAATGATCTCTCTCATGCTAGCGCTCTTCTCACCCTGTGACTTTCAACACTTTTCCCACCAGGTGTGAGGTCTCTGTTGAACCCCGGTAGGGCTTGGGACCCCTGTAGCCAATGAAGCGCCACAGAAGTGATGCTTTGCATGGTGGCACAAGCCTGTAATCTCAGTTTAGGTATTCTGGAGGCTGAGGCAGGAGGACACCAAGTTCTAGGCCAGCCTGCGCAATTCAGTGAGACCTTGTCTCAAAATAAAATTTAAAAAGGTCTGGGGATGTAGTTTAGAGATAGAGAGCCTAGTACCATCAAAGAAAAAAAAAAGTGATGCTATGTGATTTCCCAGTCTACTCTATAAGAAGGATGCAATCTAAAGCTACCTATCCGCCCTGACCACCACCACCCTGAACACTCATTCTCAGGACCCAGTCACCATATTGTTAGGAAGCCCAATCTGGCCTACAGGGACAGACTGTGTGGATAGGTCCACATGGAGAAGACCTGAGGCTCAGCTGACATCCAGCATCAGCTGCCAGATATGTGAGTGAACAGCCCTTAGATGATACCAGCACCAGATACCGCAGAGCAAAGACAAGCTGCCCCAACTTGCCCTATTTGTAATTTTGACCCACAGTGTCTGTGAACTTAATCAAGGATTGTTTTACTTCACTAAGTTTTTGGGGTAATTTGTAATGTAGCCATAGTAACTGTAACACCATCTCTTAGGAATTGTAGTCCTGTGCTGCCCATTTTTCAATGCTGAAAATAGTTGCCTTACATATTTTGTCCACTGTGATTGTTAGGGAGAGCTAGTCTCCAAGCCAGGACTTTAATCTGAAACTCTGTTTTCTAAAATAATGAGAAGGATAATTATAACATCCACAATAACATTGACAGCAACTTCCTCTTTCTGTGTGCTAGGTGCTATGCTAAACATTTAAATATATGAGCTCAATGAAACCACACAATGATCCTGTGAAATAGGCATTATAACCCCCTGGTTTGCATGCAGGTCTGGAAGCCCATGCAATTAAACACACACAAACACACACACACACACAATTTCATATATATATATACATACATACATACATACATATACATATATATATATGTGTATATACACATAAGTATGTATATGCATTGGCATACAGAGACACACATGCACCCATTACACTTTTTCAGAGTTTTTTATGCTTTAAAAATATTTCTATGCTCACAGTTAAAAATTCCTTTCCCCCAGTTTATGCTAAATAGATTGAAAGGGACTCAGTCTGCTAGATATTAAATTCCCCAAGCATACCCCAAGATGAAATCCTCCATCTGTGGTCACCACAGTCATGGGCAGCAGAGATATTGTCTGTTCCTCTGCCAAGGTTTGCATGGGACCCAATTTGGGGATGGGTGGGGTGGGACTTTTAACAAGACTTGGCTTGGTAGACAGAATCCTTCTCCTGGGGCCTCAAGGACTCTGCACTTGATGTTGTAAGAGTCTAAATTCAGAGAAGCAAAGTGATTTCTTGAATATGCAAAAGTGGAAGCACAGAACAAGAAACCAGCGCTTGGAAGGGTAAGGGCTGAGGGAGTTAAAGGGACAATCTTCCGGAGCAGTGACTAGAGCCGGCTGTTGGAGGAGGAGTCATAGAGGGCCCTCCTCATTATTCTGCAGGTTTCCCAAATTCAGTTTGCCCCTCATAAACAAGGGGAGTATTGTGGATAGTGAGAACCTCTAAACTGGCAGTTTTAGGGCAGAATGAAGTGTTTACGGGAGAAAGAGTCTCAGGACACAGGGAAAACTTATTTTCACTTCTTAAAAGAGTGGAGACATGGGTCCTATTCTTGAGAAGAAGGACACAGAGATGCTTCTTTGGGGAAAGCAAGAAATGACACTGTTGTGTAATTACAATTACTTTTTATCTAGAAAACAGACACCATGGGGCTGGGCATGTGGCTCAAGCAGTAGTGCGCTCGCCTGGCATGCGTGCGGCCTGGGTTCGATCCTCAGCACCACATACAAACAAAGAGGTTGTGTCCGCCCGAGAACTAAAAAATAAATATTAAAATTCTCTCTCTCTCTCTCTCTTAAAAAAAAACCACAGTAATGAAAACTGATACAAAAAATCCTTGAATAAATATTATAAAAAAAGAAAAAGAAAGAAAACAGACACCTAAATCTATCCCCAGCCCTACCTCACAAAAAGTTTCCCTTGTGTAATCGACAGTGAGCAGCTAAGTCCACTGTAGGAAAGTGAAATGGGAAATCTTTGAGATTCACCTTGGCCTTCCTGTCCCCTCTCTCACGTTCAGTCCTGAAACATTGTTTAAAGCTCCCTATAAGCACTTCTCCAGAGTACCCTACTCTTAGCCATTTTATAGACGAAGAAACTGGTTCTGCGCAGTTTAAATGGCTTGCCCTAGCTGGGCAGGGCAGCCCAGTGCGGGAAGCCGGCTCCGCTCGGAAGTTTCAGCCAGCAGTAACCTCTCCATGGCACCCCATCTGGGCTTCCCCCCAGCCCACCACCGTTGTGTGAATGAATATCACGTCTGCCCAGACTAGGCAGTGAGGGTGGGAATTCCCTCTCAGCTCTTGCCTCCCAATCCCTTCGCTGTCCCTACTCCCATCCCCGCCCATCAGTGCGGATCCGCGCGTGCCTGTGTGGTCCCAACCCTGGCAGGGGGAAGAATTGTGCCCCGGCTCTTTGTGTGCAAGTGTGCAGGGGGCGGAGGACAGCGAGAACGCAATGCAGATCGTCTGCTCAGATGGGACCGCGGGGTGGCCTGTCTGCAAACTTCGCCCGGAACACACCGCTTACCTCTGCCTCTTTGCGTAGCTCCTGGCCTGCGCGGTCCGCGGGCTCGGCGTCCAGTCCACCCCACAGCAGCAGCGGCAGGGCGCGCAGTAGGAGGCCGACCCGAGCTACCATTTCGTCGGCGCTCCAGCTCCCCGCGGTGAGGAGAGCTGCCGAGCGCCCGGCACCCGCGGGCAGTCAGCTGTGCGCTAGTCCCCGAGATGCGCCACCCCTCGCGGACAGGGGCGATCCCAGGGGCTTGCAGTGCGCTCTGGGCAGTTCCTTGCTGCGCTCGTCTGGGGCCGGCCGGAGGTCGTCCAACTCCAGTAGTGCCTGCCCACGGGTCCGCCGGCCGGAGGACAGCGGGAGGGAGGAAGGGAGGGAAGAGGGGCGGGAACCCGGCACTCCCGCCCCACCCACCCTTCGCCGCTGGAACGCGCCGAGGTCCTGGAGCCTCTTCCGCTGGCTGTACTGCCTCGCCCTGCGCCTGCCACCGCCCAGCTCACCCCTTCTCTCCCTGCCACCTTCAATTGATCCAGATCTCTGCATGGAGGGCCGGGGAAGAATGGTCTCCTGGCAGTTGTGACTACCTAAGACTTAGATGGAGAGGGGTTCTGGCCTACCTGAAGGTAGTTGATAATTTCGGTAGATGGGGAGTGAGTCCCTGGAGTGTAGGAGAAGGAACCCTAGACTCCTAGACTGAATCAGGATTGGGTTTGAGTTTCAGATTTGATTTTGATTTTTTTTTTTTTTTTGGTAGATGTGTGAATCCTGCACCAACCACCTGCGGGATGTGTGGACTTAGGCCAGTCACTCACCCGCTTTTCTTATCAGTATATAAGGATAATAAGAATACAGATATCTTCAACAGACACTAGTATGGCAATATTTAAATCAATGGATGTGTAACTGATGTGATTCTGCAATCTGTGTATGGGGTGAAGGTGGGAGTTCATAACCCACTTGAATCAAAGTGTGGAATATGATATGTCAAGAAATTTGTAATGTTTTGAACAACCCACAATAAAAAATTAAAAAAAAAAAAAGAATACAGATATCTCATGATTGTGGGGAGGAATTCATGATCTAATAAACCCTGTTAATAACCGCGCGCGGTGCCTGGCATCATGCAACACACACTTAATAAATGCAATCGTGTGATCTTTGGCAAAGGATCTAACTACTTCAAGTGCCAGGTTACTTATCAATAAAATAAGAGCAGAAAATATTCAATTCCCAGAACTGCATGAAGATGAAAAGAGAAAACGAGTATAAAGTTCCTTATATATCCCAGGCAGTCATTATAAGAATGGAATGAAAAAAGTTTCCACGAAAGCCTTCCTTAAATTCTTACAGGGCCAAAGTAAACTTTTCATTATCTACCTTCTCAATTGAGAGCAGATTCTCTTTTATCTTCAATTCATTCATCTGTAAAATGCAAATAAAACAATGATATTGACCTCTGGGGGTCCTTGTGGGATCAGATGAGTTGGTGTATGCAAAAATAATCTGGAATCTATAAAGTGCCAAACGAAAGTAATGCGGAGTTCTAACCCTGAGGCTCCGTAGGACCCTTTTGTGATGTTTAGGAAAAGATGCCAGTTTGGTGGAGAAATTGGAAAAACGTTCTTTGAGTAGACATCTTAGAAACAGGCATTTCTTTGGTGACAGTAATTGAAAACAGCCTCCCAGCTTCTCTGGACAAACCAATGAGAAAAAGTGGCCCTTCCATGTTACATACAGTCCAGTGCCAGGGATCCCACAGGAGCAAAGAGTTGAGACTGGATTTCTTTGCCCCTTGCTAAGGGTGCATCTGTGCATATCTATATAAGAAGCATCCCTTATTGGGTGGGCATCTCTAGGATGATGGAGGAGGCTTGGATCTTGCCCTCAGAGAGCTTCCAGTTTAGCTGGGTAGAATAGAATGAAAGTTCTCTGCTAAGGACATAACAGATTGTGACAAGGCAGCTGTTTCAAACACAATCCTGCCATGGTCATTGGGAGAGATTCTGAAGGGGAGTGGGACAGAGTTGCCAGAGTTAGCACATAAAAATATAGGATCCCAAGTTAAACCTGAGTATCCCATTAATAACAAATAGTGGTTTAATACAAGTGGATGGCGTTCAATATTTGGAACTTATTTGTATTAAAAAATTTCTCATTAATCTGAAATTCAAGTTTAACTGTGCCTCCTCTATTTGATCTGACAACTCTAAGGTGTGTGTATATAAGTCACAGGTATGACATGGTGGCCTTGACCAATGGATGGATTTTGACAGGCCAGAAAGCCCTACTTTGGGGCAGGGAGCTTTGAGAAGCATCAGCTGGTAAGAGCACTGGGATCCAAGCAAGAATTCAATCTGAGCTTGCCAATTATTTCTCTAGGCAGAATCTCTCTATCCCTTCTTGCTGGACATCCCAGAGATTCTCCATTTTGGTTTACTGCAAAGAGAGAAGAGGGAAAATGTGGTTCTCTAAAGGGCTGAATATCTGAGAGGAGACAGGAACTGATCCTGCCTTTTTCTGCACCTACCTGTTAGCTCCACTGCTGCATTTGAGAAGTGATTTCCTCTGTTTCCCTTTTGTCTCCTTGGTTGGTTCATTTTTTCACATTCTGACATTTTACCACTTTCCTTGTGCTTGTGGTCTCCTTGAGGTGCCATTCAACTTGAAGTGCATACGAAAGTTTAGGCAGAACACTCTCCACCTCACACCCTACACTTGCCTTGGGCTTCAACGATACCTTTCATGTCTCCATTTCCCAGGGAGACACAGTGTTTGGGTAGCAGGAGGCTTTGGTTTCCTTCCATTTTTGAAGATTATTTATTAATCCTCAAGCACCAAATTCTGTGATCTTCTTCAAAACCTAGGAACCCACAAACCCTCACAAATGACTTGTGGTCTGTTTTTACTTTCTAGGACACAACGTGAGCCAAATCACTTCGAACTTTGTGCAGGCTTGGGGGACTGGAAAGGGATCCAAGGAGGAAAGAAGATGAGAAAGGCAGGTCAGTTCATTGGAAAGAGACTCCCTTCACAGTGAGGGTATCTGGAGAGTAGTGGGAGGAAGATGGCTTTGAAGCAGGGATATTCAAATGTGCTCAAAAGTTGAACCCTGTCCAAAGCAATGCTGCAGTGACAAGCCCTTATATTGATCCAATATCATTATTTCTTCCTCTTGTGGGAGTGGGAATGGGGATAGGAACGGGAATGAGGAATCAGAACAAATAATAATGCTTAATACTTGTTGCAAATTTAACATATGCTGTGTATGTGTTATGTATTTCACATAACTCATGTCATAGAATCTTTGTAACTTCCCTATGAGAAATCCACTATTATTATAAATAGCCTTACTTTAAAGATGAAGAAACTGAGGCATAGAGATTATATCCTTGGGGCTGGGGATATAGCTCAGTTGGTAGAGTGCTTGCTTTGTATACACAAGGCCCTGGGTTTGATCCCCAGCACCACAAAAATAAATAAATAAATAAATAAATAAATGAGAGAGAGAGAGATATTATATCCTTTATCTGAGTCCACAAAGTGAGTAAAGGAGCCAGGATTCAAACCTGGATGGTATAACTCCAGATCTTGGACCCTTAAATATTATATTATCTTGCCCCAAGTCCAGTTTATCAAATGTGATTTTTGGGTCACTTGAAGTGAATCACCTAGAAGCACTTATTAAAAATTCAGATTTTTGGGCTGGGGGCTCAGTGGTAGAGCTCTTGCTTAGCATATGAGAGGCCCTGGGCTCAATCCCCATCATCCTCCTGTACCGAAATTCAGATTCCAGACCCACAGAATCACTAACTATTAACTAGTGGTGTCTAAGAGAGAGAGAGACCTCTGGGTTTTCCAATGGTCTAGTTCTCACCTCCCTTCCCACCCCATCTTGGCTGAGTGGTTTCTAAGCCCGCTGGGCTATGCCTCTTCAAAGAGCCTTTTCCCCTCCCTTCCTCCTTCAGCACCATGGTTTGGCTCAGATCCTCAGCGCCTCCCAGAGTGGACAGGACTTCTGAGGAACTCTTGCCATGGTCTAGGCATGTTGTCTGCCAAAAGGAGTGGTTGGCAGTTGCCACTCGGGGCCATTGCTCCTCCTCTGACACAAGGCCACAGCTGGATCCCTTGAATCAGGCCGGATGTATGAGCCCGGACAAGAAACCTCTAGGCCTCAGTTTCTCTCTTGATAATAAGAGGAACAATCAGCTTTGTCTCTGCCCTTTCCTCCTTCCCAGGAAGTGTGTAGAAAACAAAGTAGATTTTATTGGAAGGAATTCTGGGCTCTGGAGAAAGGCACTCATGGGAAGACCAACCCGAGGAAACCACAAGAATAGGAAGAATAGAGGAACAATGAGGACAAGAGATGAGCTAGTCAGAGTCGAAGAGAGGTTTTCCCCAGAGTCCTGAGAATGTTAGAGGCAGGAGGACCTTGTGGGATCATTTGGGCCATTACTCGCTGAAGTCTTCACATTTGTGGCTGAATTGCAATTCCAGAAGCCCTGACTTTCTGGCAGCCACCTCTGCCTGTGGAAGACAGATGTCTTCTCTCCAGCAGATGCGGGTGTGAGCTGGTCAGTCTGGATCACATTCACAAGTGTACCTGCCTGCCTTCTCCTGAAAACACACACACACACACACACGTGCTCCTGTGGGTCTGGGAAAAGCAAGAAATGTGGAGCGGGACAGACCAGGTTTTAAATCTTGACTTTTTCACACTGTGCCTTTTGCAAGTTAACTAACCTCTCTTGAGTTACTGCCATTTTTAAATGGGACAAAGAGAATTTTTGTCTTTGTGTACTACCCTGCCATGCTATGGGGAGCAAGCTAGGCAATTAGTAACTTCAATCCTGTGAAGTATTGGATAGTGGAGCGCAGACACAAGTGTACACTGGGATATTCGGTGCACAGGTTCATGCTGGAGCACGCTGGCATTCAGATGACACACCAGAGCCAGCCCCAGCACAGTCGCAGAAGCACCTTCTCCCTAGGCAATGCTCACTGGCTCGAAGCAGCCCATTTCCCCTAATGCTCATCACGGTTTAGCAAGGCGTCAGCCTCTTCTGGTTTGTTTTTTACTCACACCAGGACCCAGGGGACTTGCAAGGAGCACAATAAAAGCCTGGCCAATCTGGCGCTGTGCCCACTTCCCTTCTACATAAAGGCTGTTGAACCACCAGGCATCTGGCCTGAAAGGCTGGGCCAGGACC